TCACGTACGTGCTCTTCTTGTGGAAAATTATATAGAAATTCACTACGAAAGTATCATGATAGAACATTAGCAAAGAAAATTCAACAGTTTCGTAAAACAATCAAATCACTCAAAAGGAAGGTCAAAATATTGTCACATAATGATGATGTAATTGTTGAAAAATTAAGATCACTGTTGGAACGTAAAATTATAACACCAAACCATTTCTTTTATAGATTTATATCCAATACCATCGTAAATGCTGATAAATCTTCACGTCAAATTCGGCATGATCCAATAATAATTGAATGGTGTTTAAACTTCAAATATTGTGGAGGTAAGAAGGCATATGAATTCTTTAGAGGGTTTAATTCTAATCAAAAAGGTACTCTTAATTATAATTTCATTCTGCCTTCCATTTCTACATTGCAAGAATATTTACCATCAATGAATACATCATGGAATAACTCATTATCTTCTCTTATTGATGGAATGATCACACAAAATATTTGTAAAGAATTTATTATTTCATGGGATGAAATGGAAATTCGTTCTGGACTTGTATTTGATTCATTTCAAAAACGAGTTGTAGGTTTTATTAATGATAACATCTTAACTAGTGATGAAGTAATGGAAAAACATGAAACCATCAGCCAATCAGATGTTGCCTCAAAACTTTGTCAGTTTTTTTACACATCTCTAGATGGGAATTGTAGTTTTCCTCTTGGAGCTTTTGGATACGATTCTAGTAAGCACGTAGATTTTATTGTCAGAAAAATCAAAGAAGTAGTCAATCTCATTCAAAACAAGAATGAATCTTTCACATTGGTGTGCACTAGTTCAGATGGAGCCAATGGAAATATTCAAGTTGCAGAAAAATTGAAAACAGATTTATCTTCATACCATATTTTTGATTATTCTCATGTTATCAAAAGAGCAAGAAATCTGCTCTTGAAATCAAATTTAAAAATATGCTTGGAGGAAATAACTGAAAATGCTCCAATATTAGAAACATTTCAACCATCTTATTCTGAAACTAGAATGATCGAATTACAAGATTTATTAA